GTCCAATTTTTTTTTTTACAAAAAAAATGGGGAAATGGATAAGTAAAACTAAGCCAACAGACAGTCTAAAATCAAACGACTGGAAAGTTATTAAAGATCAGGATAAAATAAAACAAAAAACAAATTCAACTGAAAAATTGTACGAGGAAGGGTATGATGATGTACAATTTTGGTTAGAAGTAGCGCAAAAACGAGAAAGTGGGGAGAAAGAAATTACAAAAGAAAAGGAAAAGGTTCCAGGAGCCTTTTTCCAGGATGAGGAACAAGTGTTTTATGAGGACAGGAGAGGAAGAGAAGGCTTTAGGGGCAGAGGTCAGAACCTTAGAGGTTTAAAAGGGAGACGTGGGAGAGGAAACTACAGGCACAGTTACTCAGGGTGCTGGTGTTGCGGGCAGGAAGGACATTTAGCCAGAAATTGCCCAAGAAAAAGAAAACAAAAACACAGGACAGTCAGCATGATTAAGATCAGAGAAATTGGGGAGTGAAGAGGTCCAGTTAAATCTTCAGGATTTACTTTCTATGGACAGCATAAGACCTGAAATAACTCTCCTAATAAATAGCAAACCTGTAAATTTTCTCTGTGACACAGGTGCATGTAGAACAACACGTAGAGAAAACATTCTTGGGGTAAAAAAAAAAAAAAAAAAAATTTTTGTGGTGAAAATGTCAAGATCAGCTACAGGAATAAAAGAAGGGGATTTCTTTGTTGTCCAGGGACACAGGGAACTGTATTACTTTTATTCATTGGATGTGCCCAACAAACCCCCACACAACACTGCACAAACACTTCTGGCAGAGGGCATAAAGCCATTTCTGCCCTACAGGATCAAAAGTCTCCTGATGATTTGCATGTCACACTTTGGTTCAAAACAGTTCCTGGGCCTGATAGGAACTATGAAGCCAGACTCAACAAGGTCACCCCAGCCAAGATAACTGTGACCTATCTGTACACAGACACAAAACATGTGACTGATCCACACACATTGTTGAATTCTCTTAGATCAGATGCAAAAGTATTCACGGTTGTAGACATCAGTAAATGCCTTTTTCTCAATACCAATTGAGAAAGAGAGCCAATTTTGGTTTGCTTTTACTTTTGAAGGGAAAAGATACACATACACCAGACTACTTCAAGGCTACTGTGAAAGCCCTACAATTCTCTTTCAAGTAATGAGTGCAAGTATGTCAACTTTTCAACCCCCAGGAGGGAGCCAAGTTTTGTTGTACATAGATGATGTTTTATTGGTTTCTCCAGACAGGGAAACCTGTAAGCAAAACACTTTAGCGCTTCTGCAACATTTAGCTAAAGAAGGTCATAAGGTTAACAAAATAAACTTTAACTGTGTAAACGAAAAGTAAAATATTTGGGTCATAATTTGAGTGAAGGAGGACGAACCATAGCGGAGGATAGAAAACGACAATTCTCCAAGCTCCCAAACCACAAACAAAAAAACAGATGATGTCCTTTTTGGGTTGACTAACTATTGTCGAAACTGGGTGCCTAATTATGCAGAAATTGTGGCAGCTCTGAATAAATTAATGTATAAAAGATTTTAAAATGTCTTCTTTGTTGTGGGCAGATGAAGCAGAAGAAGCACTTTGCAAACTAAAACAGGCCCTCGTGTCAAGCGCTGCTTTGGCGTTACCAGATTATCAAAAACCTTTTGTTCAGATGGTGGATTGCAAAGGTCATTTTATGACCTCGGTGTTAGTCCAACAGCATGGTGATAAAATGAGGCCGATAGCATATTTTTCTTCTAAACTTGATAGTGTGGCGTGTGCCTTACCACATTGTGTGAGAGCTGTAGTTGCTGCTTCTATGGCAGTAGAAGTTAGTGCTCCTATAGTTCTGTTCCACCCATTAACATTAAAAGTGCCACATGCAGAATTATTAAATACCATATCACTGGTCAATCTATCGACCAAATTGCTATAATTTCCTTTTGTGTTGTATTTATATTCTTTGTTTTGTATTTAATTTGTATTTTTTTGTATTTTGTGTATGCTTACTGTGTGCCACATTTTTGCCTGTGAGCTGCTGGTAACTATAATTTCCTGAGGGAGTCTTCCCAAGGGATCAATAAAGTCAAGTCTAAGTCTCTCTAAGTCTAAAAGAATTATTACAAGTCGTGCACCTACCAAAACAACTAGCAATCTGTAAATGTGCGGCGCACACTGCAGGGACAGATAAGGTGTCCCTAGGGAATGCTTTCGAAGACAAAATAAAAATAAAAAAAGCAGCTGAGGGAGAGATAAATGTATTACATGTGGAAAAAAAAAAAAATTTAATTCATGAAAGAAACTTTAAGACATGCAACAATTAAGTCCTCAAAATGAAAAGGATTTATGGATAAAAAAATGGAGCAAAATTGGAAAATTATATGAAACTTAACCTATTTTACCAAGAAAAAGATGTGTATAAATGGGCTGCAATATTGAGCCATGGCGTTTTCGCATGTCTCAACAGGGGGGATGGTAGGATACATCAACATTACACTACTTATGGATTTATTTCTTATTTAAAAAAATTCTGTAGGACCTGTTTGATATGTGCAAAACATAACTCTCAGGGCAATCTAAGATCACTTAGAGGAAAGTTTTCTACTCTGCAATATCCATTTCAAGTAATGCATATGGACTTCATAGAATTGAATAACAGTGAAGGACAAAAGTATTGTTTAGAAATAATTGATGCTTTTCTAAATGGTTTGAACATTTCACTAAAAACCCAGATGCAGCGGAAAAGCCAACTTGGATACATTTAACACACTGCAAAAAGGAATTTAATTTCAAAAGTATTTGGGAAGCAAGCTCAAGACGCTCACCGACCTACAGGGCAAAGTCCAGGTTACAAAGGGGGTTAAACCAAATAGTTTTTCCGTCTCAAAACTGGTGAAGATTGTCCACAACCCTGTAGTGTCTTTAGGAGCAGAACGAACTTGCACATTAATGAAAATAACAAGCGAATATATCTTTGTTTTTATTTTGTGTTTTTATCTGGGAACAATTCACGTCACGAATAAAAATGTTTTCTTGTAACACTGTTTACAGAATGAGGATGAGTATTCAGGTGTGTTTTTCCACCTAGTTCTATTATCATTTTTTTAGTCTGCTGGGCAAGTATGACGTCGGCAAACTACAGAGATTAAACTTGATATATGACAAATGATGTTTTAACACCGGACTGTTCTCTCTGTGAACAATGAATTTAACCCTGTCTTTCGTGCGGATGTCTGGTGGTGGTGCAGTGGTGACAAAATTTTTAATAGATTACCTAGGAAGGTAACAGGGATGTCTGCATTAATTTCTTTATTATTGCCTGTTTCTGTTTATCCTATGACTGCTGATCATTTAATTCATGCTTTAACTGATGTTGTGCCTCAGCAGTGACGTCAGTTGCAGAAACGAGACCTGACCTGGAGGAACAATGATCCTACATACATCGATGCCATTGGTGTTCCCCGTGGTGTACCAGATGAGTATAAATTGGCCGACCAAATTGCAGCAGGATTTGAGTCCACAATTTGTTGGTGGTGTACATTAAACAAAAACGTTGACAGAATCAACTACATCCATTACAATGTGCAAAAACTGGGCAACTGGACACAGGCAGGCTTCGAGGCGGTGCATGAGCAGCTGGCCGCTACATCACTGATGGCTTTCCAGAACCGCATTGCACTTGACATGGTGCTGGCTGAACGAGGGGGAGTGTGTGCAATCTTTGGTGAAAGATGCTGCACTTTTCTACCCAACAACACAGCGGCTGATGGCAGCCTGACGAAGGCCATTGAGGGGCTCCGTACCCTTAATGGTAAGCTGAAGGAGTTCTCTGGAGTGAATACTTCCAGGTGGGACGACTGGATGAATGTTTTTGGAAAGTACCGAACCCTTGTGTCCTCTGCTTTAGTGTCGATGGCTGTCTTTGCTGCCATTCTAACCTTGTGTGGATGCTGTTGTATTCCTTGCCTGCGTTCTTTGTTTAATAGTCTCATCACTACAGCAATTTAGCCCATGGGGAACCAGATGATGCCGATGTATCCCTTATTGGTGAGAGAACCTGAGTCTGACAGAGAAAGCTCTGATGAGGACTTTTTTGATGTGTTTCCTGATTCTAAGTTTTGGACTGAGTATAAACCTTGAGTGTAAACGTGTTTGCTTTCTTAAAAATGAACTCCTAGTTGAAAATTGTTTGAAGTGGCTGTTTAGGAAGGATATGAGAATTAGAACAAATATTTGATAAACAGGGGGAAATGTTGGAGAAATTGTGATATTATTAATCAATTATTTGTTATTCTCATTGATCTTTATAATGTATCTTTAATTGATGCTTTCCTTAAAGTTAATCTCATTATAGAATTAAGAATGTTTCTTGTATTGTTGATTTGCTCTGATTCCTTTCTCAGAAGGCCTCACTGACAGAGAGCAGAAACAAAATCTTCCTGCAGGTTTACCTCTTGGTGAAGAGCTCTGCTTCGGTTGAGTTGCTGGCCTCCAATAAAACCATCATTGCTAAGATCACTACATATTTTATTAATCTTTGTGCCTGGAAGGACATTATCTAGTACAGAATGATTGTGTGTTAGTTAGTGAATAACATTTGACGCTGTAGCTGTTTGCCCCCTCCCTTTAGAGCTACAGCGTCCTTGTGATTAGGGATCCTAGAAACAATAAAATAGAGGAGCAGACAAAATGTGCTTCAGAGCGGTAGGAGATTGTAACTGAAGCACATCTCTGTCCGTTCTCCTCGCGAGTGAAAAAGAATCTAACTCTTTTGTCTTTTCTGTCTTTGTTAATGTATGTTTAACAGGTGTTAACCCTAACACTTATGAAGATGCTGGTTTCCTACATGCTCCAAAAGTAGCAAAACATTTAAGTGTGACAAAAAAAATCAGTAAATATTTAAGGGAACAAATACTATTTTACAGCACTATAAACAAGAACAACAAAAAACATGCATGAAGACATGCTTTATGTTTACTGCACTGATCAAAGACACTTACTTGTCTCCCCCATCTCATATTCACTGTCTCTTAGCAATTCAAAGATGTCCACCTCCAGCTTGCCTGTTGTAGAGCGGTTGCTGCTCCTGTTGATGTTATTTTTGGCCAGCGTGATGGCTAAACGCTCTCCCCTGCTGCACTCCATAGGATCATCAAGAATGGCAGCTGACAAGAACAAAGTAAAATACAACAAATAAGAATTGAAAGATATATTTTCTACACTTCTACCACAAATCAGATTTTTTTTTTATTGATTTGAGGGAGTGTGACCTGCCTCACCAGGTGCTCCAGTTAGGGTTGATTAAACATACAAACAAACAAAAAAAACGATCTGATGGAATGCTGGAAACAACAATTGTGTGTAAGTTTTGCAAAAAGGCGTTAACTTAATTCTCAAGCTATTCCATCTCAATGCAAAACATGTTGCTGCAAGCAGCGATGTCCCCAATGCAAATGTCAGTGTCTACAGTCCACATTTCTAATGAAGTATTTTTTCAAAGAAATTATATTAGTAATCAAAGGTTCCTGAAACCTTTGATTACTAATATTGAAAACTGAATGGGCCTTGGCACGCCAGTCATCTGTGCAGACAGCTTAACTTAACTACCGGTACAAATGTCATATTGCCACTTTCTTATGCTATATTATTCTGTTAGCAGTGGGGGAAAAGTTTTTTGTTGCATGTTACACGTCTTTATTCAACGTTATCATATGGTAAAAGATCTCAAACCAAGTCCAGTTTTTATATTATGGCCAGAGTGTTTTAACATTTTCAAAAACACAATGTAAGTAATAATTTTGTTTGCTGCCCTAAGCATCTGAAGCTTTTTAATGCTTTCATAAAATTAGTGCAGTAGCTTGCAGAGTGAGTCTACATCCAAATTAAATCAGTTTACCACTGCAACGTAAAGCTGTGCTAAGGAAAAGTGTTACTCTCACATTTGATTTATGTTCCTTCTGGGTGCAATATTTACTGTACTGTAAAACTGCAATCAGTATGACTAATATGTCTCTTGAGTTTGGTTCTTCTAAGCAAGTTTTAAAGAGATTATTTGTGCTTTGTACCCTATATATGTGAATAAGTATATCTGAATAAGATTGCATAGGGCATTACAAAGCTAAGGTGATATTTTTGCATGCATGCTGTAATATCTTAATCATGTCATGAATGTATTCACTGACCTTTGACAGTACAGATATTGAACTGGTGGTTAAACATTCATAGCAAACATTCACCGTGTTATTAAGCTTCGGAAGAACTTGAATGACACTTGCTTTCATACATTTAAAATTAATTGTCGCACATTGAACTGTGTCATGGTTTTCACTGTGTGTCTGACCCAGAATAAGATTTTTTATGACCTGTGCTGGATGGTCCAGCACAGGATGCGTAAGCTGGCTTTCAACATTCCCTAAACAAATATAAAAATAGATCAACTTAAAGATGTCAACACAACCACTTCCTCGGGAGGTGATAACAGATATTTGCTTCAATGCCAAGACCTCAGCTAAGTAAATAATAAAAACAACATCAAAGCAGCAGCAGATGAGTATCTGTCCTATTTGCTGCACATAATTCCATGCTTGAACACAGCTGGATTTAAAGAATGTCATTAGGATGCTCTGTAGGCACAAGGTACATGTTTAACATGTAATGTTAAAAAAATGTGAGTAAGGTGTGTTGGAGCACAGACTTCCTAAAGATGCAGGAATGATCTAGCGGTTAGTAGTATGCAATACTGTGCTAAAACTATTCATTCATCCTTACAAATCATTGAAATCATTGAAGGTGTTATGTCGTTTCAGACATAACACCTTCTAATGCTTCTACAAACATGTGTGAAAGAGTGGGTCGCTCTCGGGAGCTCAGTGAATTCAAGTGTGGTATTGTGATAGGATACCACATGTGCAATGAGCAAAGTTGTTACCAGTTTTTTGCTACTGCATATTCCAGTCAGTTTTTAGTGGTATTATAACAAAGTGAAAGCAAGTCAGCTACAAAGCAGAGAGAAATGTGAAATCCACTTGGAAGGGTCAGTGGAAACTGAGGTATATACTGTATTGTATAGCCAACAAGAGTTTCATAGAGTTTCCATGGCTGAGTCACATATATTCAAACCTTACATCACTAAGTCCAATGCAAAAAGTTGGATGTCATGATGTAAAGCATAAAGCAAGGTCCAAAGACATTGAGGATTGAATTTAGTGCGTCCTCAAGCTGCAGGTAGTGATTTCAGTTTGTGTAGAGACTCAGACAGTGGAACAAATGCAAGTCTTAGAAAACTTTGGGTAGCACCATAAACAAACTTCTGAACTAGAGGAACTGAAGGTGGGCCAATCTCTGATTAAATCCTTTGAATTAAAAATTCAGCTGTGTGCAAGGGAACAAATACTTTAGGAAGCTCAACCTCACATTGATTTACAAAGTACTGCACAAACATCATTTCCTACTTTACAGAAATAAGGATAAGGAGTTAAAGTCAGCACTAAGGAAGCTTCAGAAATAAAATAAAATCTGAGTTATTTTATCGTAACTGTCCCCAAGTACCAGAGAAAAGCTCAAATGTACTGTATGCTTAGAAAGAAATGATAAAGTCAGGCACATTGTACAAAATGTGTTTTCTGATTATAGTAGTTTTCTTATTCTTTTTTGGAATCATATTGAGCCTTTCCACAAAAATTCAAACTATTGAGAAAAATGTATCCTCTGGTGTTATGCGTTTCATTGGTAAGTAAGTCATAATCATGCCGATAAAATGTAGAGTCATTTCACTGCAGTTGAAGTCAAGTTTTCAAACATATACTTCCTTCTTTTTAAAATATAGGACTTAACCTACAAATTGACAAATGCCTAATAGGAAATTATTTAGATAGGAACAATATCTCAACAGAGTTAAAAAAAAAAACTGATCCCAATATCTCTAACATTTATAGTATATAGTGTTTAAAATTCTGAAAATTAAAGCCAATTAAAACACTAAAATGAAAAGCAGAAAAAAGACTCTGTGTGAGGAAGCCGTAACTCGAATGATATTAAAGATAATGGTGAAAATAATTTTTCAAAAGCTTGCTAAACTTATGCATAAGATAATGTTGGCAACTAATTTTACAGAAAGAAAGTCACGAAAGATGAAAATAGCATTTATCAGCACACACATACACAGTGTGTCTTTCTATCTCCAGTAGGACTTTGCATTTACTTCCATTCATTTACCTCATACCTTAGTCCTAAACATAACCCAAAAACTGCTCTTATTCTTATGGGCCTGCGTGTTGGGCCCCATAAGAAGCAGTCAGTCCCCACAATGTAGAATTTGTTAGGAAAATAGTCCTTATACTGTATCAAAGACCAGGCCACATGCACAAACCAAGCTCTCCCTTAAATCTAGCAACATTATCTTCTGTATTTACACAAGTCATTTGCTTTTTTCCAGGAAAAAAAGTATCTGGCTCTGCAAACTTTACTAGCAATCAGTGGTGAAAGTTGTTTTTCTGACATGCGGTCCCTCCGGAGCATGTCGAGGAAATCTTGTCTGTAGTGAAAGTGAGAAAAGAGCTAAAAACGTGATTGGAGAGCACAACAGATATAGAACTGTACACAATGCACCTCTACAGATTTGGTGAGGAGCTTCGGATTGTAATTTACATAGACGATTTGTATTGTTCTTTTCTGGCATCTTAGAAATTTGTTTTGCAATCATCCCAGAATGATTTATTTTAAGCAATCAAAGGAGCTGACAGGGGGACATTTTTAAATAGTTCTCTTATTTATTACTTCAGAATTTGGTTCTAAAATCAAATTCCTTTCTACCTGAGGGAATAGATTAAGTTTTTCAAGAAAGTTTTGTGGAGAGGCTATTATTAATTAGTAGGGGGTTAAAATTCATCCTTTTTTTTTTCTTAAATTAATGGCGGATTGTTTAGATTATATCACTTAAAACATCACAAACTGCTCTGTTGACTAAAATCAGTTGAAAATAAAGCCCGATAATTACGCTGAGCCCATTCTAAATGACTGCAGAGCCGGTTAGAGGACAAATGTTCACGAAGAAATGTGTTTTAGGGCTTCTTTTGGCAGGAGGATAGAAACTCATGCAGTATTTGACTGATAATTTTTATTTTATGGCTAATTGGTTTATGGATACAGCTTTGGAATTTTGTCATTTACAGTCTTGGAGTTGCAGCTTCAAGACATTATATTCTATGATATGGTTTTAAAAAAGACATTTACAAGTTTGAAACTTTACTGACCTTCTGTTTTTATACTTCCCTGAATTGTGACCAATGGTTTTTGTGATCTAGGAATATAGACGCGTCAAGTATTTCTGGAGAAGACTAGGAAAGAGTAAAAACACACTCTACTGGACTGTCTACTGTTTTCTCTTTCAGCAAATGGTAACTTTAGTAAATGTTTTACCAGATCTTTTGCAAATTAGTTTGAGCTAATGTGCTGTAAATACTTTGATGGATTTTGTCCTTAAACAGTTAGAGAAGGTTGTGGTGTGAAATATTTGTTGCCTGATTTAAAATATGTTTTTCTAAAACATCATAATGTGATTGAATCGTTATGCAGTAACATTAATACTTATTATCTCATTCAAAGAACACTAGCACAAGAGATTTCCAATAAAAGTTTGACCTTTCAAATCTATTTAAATAAGTGGTCTTGTCTGTAGTGTTTACAGCAATCGCATTAGATATTCTTCAATACAGTCTTTTATCCAGAATTTTTTTTAAGCTTAAAGCATTGAGATTTTGTTCTATTTAAGTTATGTTCAAGACTAGGATAAAGTTCCCTTATTTTACTTCGTTTTACAATTAGAGACCTATCCTAACTTTTTCTTTGAATTACTGTACATCAATTGCTTCATTAACCTCATATCATGAAAGCATGAAAGAACTCAGTAAGTAGTTCAAATATGGTTCAAGTGAAGCCTACACTAAAATGCCTCGTCACCCATTTAGCAATTATTGGGTCTTTTTTTTTTCCTATGTCTGGTAAAATATTTTAAAAATGGCAAACCTTTGGATGTTCAGAAAGAATTGTGATAAAGTGTTTTTCTTGCTTCTTCCCTGCCACACTCATGTATTTACAGATCACAAAAACAAATGCATATGAAGGAGGAAGGCATTGGTGATACTGAAGAAAACCTGTACAGATCTCC